AGTTCAGCAAAAATTTCTAAAATATCTTTATTATAAAACATACAAAATTTACCCCGAACGTGGCTTTGACCACAACACTTTATTAAAAGAATTCGGTACACCTTCTCTTGTCTCACTTCGATTTATCTGTATTATTATGTTCTTATTTAAACTTTGCAATAATGCTATCTATCCTCTTATTATTAACCAACTAACCTTTAATGTGCCTAGACTACATACGCGTTAACAATTATTTTTAAATCTAATTCTCTCTTAAATTCGCCTAATCTTCTTATGTACTCTTACTTTAACTTAATTAATAATGAAATAGATATTTATAACACTTCACCTAATCAAATAATCTCCATCAGCTCAAGTTAACCTTTTTATTTTATTTTCAAATATATTTTATTATTTTATCTTATTCTGTAAATAAATAATATTGTTACATTCTGTATTATATGTAATTTTATGTTAAGCGCATTATTAATTTTGCTATATATTGTAATTTTGCATATATGCTAATTGTCATCCATAATGTAAAATAATTGTGTTTTTGAGTCCTCTTGGAGGAATATATATTTAAAAAAAAAACATAATAATTCAATATTCTTACCTTCGGATATTCCTAAAGCTTCTCGAACTTTCTCAACAAGGTGAGTTATTCCATCTTTATGATAATTTCCAATCGGCAGTAATCTTTCCTGATTGGGAATTTCTAGTTGAGAAATACTGCAAAATATAAATATATATAAATATAATCGAATACTATTAAAGATATGAGATATATTAAATTACCTGTGTGATGATAATTGATCATCACCAGCAGATGTTATTGATAAAAGTTCCATTTTGGATAAAGGAGAATCAGGAGATGCATAGCTTGTTATTTCACTGTCATTTTGTCGAGTGCCTGAACAAAAGACATATAAAGAAATATTTTTAAAAATTATGAATTATATTTGTTTTTTACCATTCATTGATTTCGTATGTGTAGTATCTGGAAGTTCCGGAGTGCAAGCTGGTGTTATGCTAGGCACTATAAATAACAAAATTAAAATCTAGTATTAAAATGTTTGAATTAATTTATGCAAATATTTCTTACCAATGACTCTCTTCTGTCTTCCTATTATTTTAGCATCTTTATTACATTCTGAAGAAGAAATATCGGTGGTATCAGAAATTCTTAATGTTGACAAGAGCGTGTTCTGGACGGTTTGAGTTACAACTGTTGCTCTATGAACTTCTGATCTATTTTAATAATAAAGTCGTTTTTTGTTATAATTAAATTTAAGTTTTGAGTTTATGTCTATGTTTAGAACAAACCTTGTTTCAGTGACAGTATAAATCGCGTTTTGTGGTTGAATACTATTTGTCACCACGTGGTGTGACTCATCTAGAGGTCCATCTTCATCAAACGAACCCTAAAAATTTGATGTAATATATTAAATATTTTATGAATTTACTGCTAATGTATTCTTTTTTTTTTACCGGTGCGCTTCCACCTTGCATAGTGCTATCCGAGACATCATTTTCTGGGATGGCCATCAGCTCAGATTCTACATCTTCGTTTTCAAAACTATAAAAATATTATATATAAAGCCATATATTTTATATATATATATATATATATATATATATATATATATATATTTGTGTGTATGTTTGTGTTTTACCTGGAGCGATTTTTAGATAGTTCAGCTTCCTCCCAATGAGTAACCATAGTCGGCGTTCCTATAGGCTTCTGATAAAGTGTTTTTCCTTTGGGGATTTGCATACTGTAAGGATCTCCAGTAGTTGGGTACATTGGCGATGGCGGCGGGGTCTCAAAATCGGCCCCCTGCAGGGGTCTCTCGTACGCCACTGCCGTGTGAAGAACCGTGCTCGGCGTCCGTCCCGAGGGACGGTTGACTTGCTTCTGAAAAATAATTAAGAAAAACAAAAGTTGTACTTCTAAATCGACAGATAAATAAGTTTATTAGAATCAACTTGACGTATTTTTTTTGCTTTTTTAATTTCTACCTCTTGATTGCATTTGTTGTCCTTTCTGGTCGATAACGATAGTCGCTGGCAATTTTCGGCAAACATGGAATTGTCTGTCCAATGTGTTCAGCACAATTTTTATCAGTTGTGCAATTTGCATACAATAAGGCTGCTCATCGTATTGATACTAAGGGGAAAGCCAAAAATTATTAAAATGAAATAAATATTATTAAATAACTTCCCGAAAAAGTTTGTTTTCATAAAAAAATCCGATTTGCTAATTTTGTTTTCTCGACGTTTCAAGCCATTCTGAATCGAATGAGACCAAATTTTGAAGTATATATTTGTGTGTGAACAGATTTTTTATCTTTACCTTATAAAGGACTACTAGAAAAGCAATAAGCCAATTCCTCCGTGCTGGAGCTTCAAGATGCCATAGACTGTGAGTTGGTATTTCATTTGTAAGTGCTGCTGCAGTTTCTGTTATGGGAGCAGTAGGACGAGGACAATACATCATCAAGGCAATTGCAAAAGATAACATGCTCATGCCCATCAAGTGATTCTGATCCAAAAGCTGAGGCAGGTTTGACAGAAATACGTTGAACACTGCTGTACATCTAGATTGAAAACTTGAATCATCTTTGGCAATAATTGGAATAATTTCTATATACTGTTGATTAGTTAGAGAGTCTTATGGAATTTGAAAGAAGCCTAAAATCAAACCTGAGTTTTGCAGGTGCCATGTAGAAAGTTTTATCAAGCATGTTGTATCCGAGTAGCAAATACAGATGCCGCAGGACAATTTGTTGTGCACGAGATTGGGGCTTTTCATCATCTGGAATTGCTTGATCAGACCTAAGTAAATAAGTTGTAATAATTTAAATATATATGTTTTATGTATGAAATTATAAATTATTTCATACATGAAACATATGACTTAAAAAAGCACAAAAAATGGCAAAATGAAAAGTACAGAAGAGAATCTACGAAGGACTTCAAAACTTAAAATTTTTATTATTATTTGTTTCACGGTAGATATTATAGTCTTCTAGATCATACTAAAATATTAGGGCCCTATGACAACTCATTTAGCTTTAAAAATTCATCAAAGTTTGTAAAAATTGGTATCGTTTTTATGGCATTTGTTAAAATTAGATCTTTTACCGACGTTTTCTCAAAAACGCCTGAACCGATTTCAAACATTTAAAAGCCATTTGATGAAGACTATCGTTTGTCAATTTTGTGCGACGATCTGCCAAGTATTTTCTTTGTCATTTGTCCACATTTATGTTCATACTACTAATCGATTTTAGAAAAATCAAATACTGTTCGAAAGATATTAGTTGGGAATGATACTGATTAGTTTTAGGTGAAAATCTACCGAGCCGTTTTCTTGTAATTAACTGTTGAAAAAAAAAATTTAAGCCGATTTCTATGGAACTTTTTTTGGCGATATATATCATGATCTTATAGAACTTACTGAAATATTACGGTCTTACGACAAGTAGTTTAATTTTAAAAATTCATCAAAGTTTGAGAAAATGAGTAGTTTTTTTTGACGTTATAACGATAGAGTACTTGATCTTAATGAACATACTAAACCATTAAAGCCCTATTGAAACTGGTTTAATTACAAAAATTATTGATTTTTGAAAATTTGCTTTTAGAAAATACTCCGAGTTAACATGTTCGTTCGCGTTCAATTATGTGTAATAAATCCAATCGGAATACTTTTAATCATTCATAAATTATTTTATTTTTTATTGATTAAGTCAATTCATTTTGTAACTTGCCTCAAGGCAAAATAACAATACCAAGTAGTTTCTAAATTGCTTACCTAGACATGAACTGAATTAGCAAAAATACAAGTAGATGTATAGTTTCTCGATCACTTTCTTCCAGCACAACGGCCCTTTGCAAAAAAGCATTCAAAGCAGCTTCGTCGCCTGGTGCACCATAGTTTACTGATTAAAAAAAATAATAATAAAAATATAAAATCATTTATGAAAATTATTAGTATTTAATTAATGTTTACCTAATCCAAATCGCGATGTTTTTCTTTTTAATATCGGTGCTGAGTATTGGCGGTTGTACACTTTTTCTTTTTCTAAAATATAAATAAGATTCTTTATAATAATATTAATATTATAATAACTAATTATTATTACTAATATAACTAATTATTTCCCTTGCCTATTTTTCCATCTTGTCTGGGTATGATACTGGCCGGCGCAGACATTGTGCGTTTGTAGGGCCATTTGGGTCCGAAAGAAGCACTAAGGGTTTTGATGGAACTTCCACCAGATCCTTCACTTTGCGAAAGTGCATCATTTGCCCTTCGCAGTTTATGCAGAAACACTTCGCTGTTAATCTCGGAGTTTCGTAAATCTACACATAAAAATAATTATTAAGAAATAATATTGGATGAATGGAATATGAAATTAATTACCTCTGAGGTAAGCAATATCGCCAGCTCTCTCCAAGTTGATTTGCGCCTCTAGGAAAAGTGCATCGAAACGGTTAAGGAAAAATTCCCAGGATAAGACATGTCTATCACTTAAGGAGTTATGTAACTGATACAAAGACTGAAGTACCATAGGCCTGTCCACGATAACACTGTCGAATTGAGTTTCCAAGCAGTACAGCAAAGACTGAAGGATAAAATAAATAAATAAAATATATGAAAAAATTAAAACTAGTGTAAATAATGCTATTTATTTATTTATTCATAACCAAGCCATCAATAATAATAGATATGGCTCTTGTCAAGCTTATTCATAACTAATATTAAAAGGATAGTAATTTTATGATAATCATATAGTAGCTGCACGAATTTCGCTTCTGAAAAAGAGCTCAAAAAAGCATTCGAACATTAAATACAATGTTCATCATCAAGTTCATCATATTAAAGTCTATTTGACCACGAGTCAAGCTCAAAATTCTTGCACAAGGTTGAAATTTATGCTCATTTAAAACCGTAAAAATTTAAATTAATGAAATAGCAATAAAAAAAAATTAAAAAAGAATGGTTGTATAGGCGATCAAATGGTCAGACTACATAGATAAGGGATAAGGATTATGCAAGAAAATAGTTGTTGAAATCAAATTGAGAAAATTTAGTAATGTCATAAAAAGCTAATTTTTTGAAAAGTTTATCTAGGGAAGCATGAATTTTTTTGCTGTCTAAGTTTAGGATATTGAGTGGAAGTTTATTCATAAGCTGAATACCTAAACTATCGATCGTATTGAAAGAGCTGCCTAATTTATATGTGCGCGCCTTAATAAGTTTGTGTCTAGTGTTGTAGTTTGAGGAGGACGAAGCCATATCAAAAAGTTTCGAATTGTTTTTGATGAAAGATAATGTTACCATCAAAAACAATTCGAAACTTTATTTGTACCTTGATAGCATTATCGTGTATTGTTCCTAGGTAGAGAGTGGCACGTTGAGCTACATAAACATTATCATCGTCCATGCTCGAAATCAAATAACAGAAGGCATTTGCCAAAGCCGCTTGTAAGGGTAGAGTACTTCGCAAAGGTGTTGTATCCATGAACCTGAAATAAACTTTTTGGTAAAATTTAAGCAATAAACAAATATAAAGCAAATGTGACAACAAATGTGTTATGCAATGAATGAATTTAAACACACGGTGTCTTTCGATTTCGTTGCATATGAATTCAATTATTTCTAATTCTTTTTCTAGAAATACCTGGTGATGACAGTAACTCTTTCAACGGCCACAAAACGAACTCGCCAATCAGTGCTATGGAAGTCTTCCTGCACAACTCTCCAAAAAACATCCATTCCTGGTGGAAGAGTTACGCAATGGAGCAGCAAAGGAACGCACACTTGACAAATGTGGGAATGCTCGGCATTACACAGATCCCATAAGCTAAGGTAAAATTTATTTTATAATTTTAAACTTATATAGGTATGGTTGTTCGGAGAACAATATCTCTTGTCTCAGTAGTATGGTGACCATATTTTTTTAAGTCAAATCCGGGACAGTAAATTTTAGTCTTTCTAACCCGGTAGAGGGAGGAGGCTTGGTGATCCTAAGTTTAGTTTTTTTAAATATATTTTTTTATATCAAAATTACTGACTTTTAGCAGAAAACTTCATTATTTGATTGTGTGTTCTACTATTTTTTATATATAATAACATTTTCAGATATTTGATGGGTAGTTTTAATTATCAAGTAATTGCAATAATTTAACTTAAATCTATATATATAATATATATATATATATATATATATATATATATATATATCGAAAACCTGTATCAATCCGTGATAAAACATCTAAATCCGGAACAAGTATTGCTTTTAGAAGAACCCGAGACAGAAGGTGTAAGTTCGGGACTGTTCCGGCCAAAACGAGACCTATGGTCACCTTACTCAGTAGAGGATTGCGTTAATAGCACAACGTTACTGTCCGAACAACCAAATAAATAAATATGTAAAATCATTATCATACTTTTTGATCAGCAAGTTTTCTTGGCACCAGACAAAGAATCCTCTGTTGTCTTTAGAAGCCTTAGAAAAGGCGTCACCGTGAAGTACCATTACATTAAGACATTGTAGAATATAATACAAAATATCTGGCTTTTCGGTGTTGGGTAATTCCTATGAAAAATATAGTTTGATGAATAATATAGAACTTTTTCTTTAAAATGAAAATAAATTTCCTACAATTGTTGTTATTTTCACTCACTTTGAGAAGTTGATGTATGTACTGCAATGATTGAGGTAGATCATCCAATGAAAAACGAAACTTTCCAATAGAAGTATGCCAAAAATCTTCGTTGTCGTCACCTACGACCATATCGTCTGCAACCTCGTTCTCGCCTACAATCTGCGGTTTTGCAACTTGCACAGTGGCAGTTGCTTGAAAATAAAATCAGAATCAAAATTTTATTGAATAATATTTGATACAATTAATTTGGCTTAAGCAGATACATCAAACTTCTTGACTTAGATATTATTTAGAATAATATAACTCACCCACATCGGCTTCTGAAATGGTGACAGAACGCGCCACGGCGCATACCACTTTTTCCGATGGCATGATGACTGCCAAGTCTAATTGTTCTGAAACAGTCTCCACAGTTGCTGTCATTATCTGGAATCATATTTAGTGTTTTTAAAAAGTTATTGTAATTTACCATTAACAACATATTGAGACAAAACATTTAGATGTATCATAAACTTGAACGAGTTATCATCCCTTACGAGAAACTTGATAATAAACGAAACATTTTTTTTAAATTCAATATAGTGATTTAATAAATTATTTTGATATTATCAGGTTATTCAGAAAGTAATTTCTTTATTTGCGTAAAGTGATTTACTTAAGTTCGTTGCATCTAATTAACTTCTCGAGTGTAAAAAAAAAAATCGACGATTTCTATGATTTTTTGACGGTAGATACCGTAGTCTTATAGATCATACTAAAATATTACGATCCTAAGACAAGTCGATAAATTTTAAAAATTCTTCAAAGTTTGCAAAAATTTTTATCGTTTTTTGGCATTTGTCAAAATTAGGCCTTTCATAGACGTTTGTTCAAAAAAAGTCTGAACTGATTTCAGAAATTTAAAAGCCATTCAATTTATCTCAATGAGGACTATCGTTTGTCAGTTTTGTGCGATGATCTGCTGTTTTTTTTGTAATTTGGAAAAAAGTGCTAAACTTTTCGTCCACATTTGAGCTTATACTACCGAACCGATTTGAAAAAATCAAAAACTGTTCGAAAGATATTAGTTTTTGGAATGATACTGATCAGTTTTAGGTGAAAATCAACCAAACCGTTTTCTTGTAATTAACTGTTGAAATAAAATTTAAGCCGATTTTTATGGAACTTTTTTTGGCTATATATATCATGGTCTTATAGAACTTGCTGAAATATTACGGCCTTACGCCAAGTAGTTTAATTTTAAAAATTAATCAAATATTTTGATCTTTGGACATTTTGTTGTTAGAGAGAAGTTAAATTTATCAAATTTATGACTCAAGCAATCATTTATTTATTGCGACTCAAGCAGATTATTTATTGAGTCTAAAATATAAAATTACTTTCTGAATAACATAGGTAATACTGATTTCATAAAACAAAGTATTAATTAAAAAGCACGTTCTGAATTCGAAAATTATTATTTTTTTCAAATTACTTCAATTACTTACGTCATTTTTAGAAACAATTAGTATTCACAATATAAATTCTAGTTAATAAAATATTTCGATACAATAACATAATTATTTAACAATGAAGACATCAATAACATCAGACACCATGCACCATTACTATCCATAAAAAATCTTAGGACACAGATTAATTTTAACATGAACGACATATAAATAAGTATTCACAAAAGAATGAAGTAAGAAATAAGGTGACATTTAGATTTAGGCGATGTCTAGACATCATCTGTCTACATATATTTACATTTAAATAATATTGTTTAAATAACAGGCACTTTAGTATTGGAAAATTTTAGGTTTCATAGATAAAAAATGAACTATTTTTATATTTTGGTAAAAGAGAACGCAATGCTGAATGGGGATTTACTATAGGATAAGGGAAACTTATTAATAAAACTATAATGTTAGGACAAAGAGAATATCCTTAAAAAATGTGTTACTGAAACATTTCTTCTGGGATTGGGTAAAGCTTAATTTATAATCTTAACGTCTTGGTTATCCTGATTTACTACGTAAGTCTAATTGTTTGAAAGAAAGTACTTGAGTAAATCCCAATCTTCTATTGCGTTCTCTAATCAAAATTTCTACTCTAATATCTCCGGCACAGGAAAAATTTCACATCAAAAACCAGTAGAATGTCAAATATTTGATGTGAATATTTTCTACCAAAATCCTAGCCGAAGGTTTAATATATCCACATGGTTTATCTGAAGTAAATAGAATAACGCATCAACTAATTGTTTATTTAAGGTGCAACTACAATTTTTCTATATTTTTAAAATCAGGATTCTATTTTCAGTATAACTAGAATATCGAGGTAATCAAATTATCACTTGGTTCTCTGAAATAATATTAATTAATTTTTGTGTAATTTAAGACTTTTTGGCTGAAGTTTGCGTTTTGGAGGGCATTGATATCAATCAGTAGTGATATCCGTTTTCACTTTTAAAAATTCAGGTCAAAATATATTTCCAAGGGAAATACCTTTGCCCGGCATCCTAACAAAAAGTTAAAATATATCATCATTATTAGGCAACCATTGGGTTGCACATTTTAAGTGACATATAAACACACATAAACTCAATGTTGACATATATCCTTCATATGTTTTGTCCGAATTGGCTAAATGAAAAACAATAAATACGAATTTAAATTTTTGCTGGATATCAAAAACGTGACTGATGAAGTATTAAAGGAGAAAATGATGATAAATCTCTGACATTCCACGAAGAATTTGTTTATTGTATAAGAAAAAATGGTACAGAATTGGAAATTGATTAAAAAGTGTGTTATTAATAATATTTTTATAGAAGAGAAAATAACTGATGACATTTTATCCCATACTTAAAAAGTATCCATAAGTACACAAACTTTTGGTATAAATATATACAGACATTTAAATTCAAAGACATCATCAAACCTACATATATGGAGTTTAAGTTGAAGTTTAGGAGTAATATCCATTATTTTAAAGGTTTTGGAAAGAAGATTATGAGATTTGACGTTGCTCTTGTTGGTAGAAAAAGCAACAAATATTTTTGTGCTATATGAAAACATGCAGAAAGTGCAAATTTTTTCAAAGACGTCACTCAAAGAAAGTATACAGTTGAATGGTAGATATATACACCATAAACAAGAAAAATTTGAAACATAGAATGGAAAACAACAGATTTAGAGGCAAGGATTGGATTTTTGATTAAATTTTATTCTCACCTTATTTTGCAAACAATGATAAACTGGAAGTTAAATTATTTTTAATAATTAGGGTCAACGACGCACCTACTTGCCCCATTTCTATATGAATTATTTTAAATCACCTTGTCTGTCCTGGACTACTATAATTTATTTATTTTCCCCAAAGAAATATTATGTAAAGTTAAGAAAATCTATTTGATTCAATCATTTTCATTATTTTTGGTCAGCAAAGCACATGATGAGAAAATGAATACAATTACAATTAAACACAAATAATAATAAATCTTGAAAAAAAAGGTTAACAGCAAATTTGACACCAATTATATTACCGCAGAAATCGTTCCATGCTGTGAAAATTGGTAGTTTTCACACATCAGCACTTCGATAATTCGAGCCCGCCGGAAATAATGTTGAGATTTTTGGAAAATCGTATTAAAATCAGGAATCAGATGAAGAATCAATAGATGAAGTTGAGAACCCGATATGACGATAGTTACAGTCGCTTCGAATATACCAGTATACACCCAAACTAATTATGAATGGTAACAAATTATCAATATTTTATATGAACAAGTGAATAGATAAAATAATTGTGAAAACGAGTTATACCTCAATAAGGCAGAACTGGATTTGGAGCTCTAGACAATTTGGTAACTTGACAATGATATCCAATTTTACATGAAAATATGAATCACGAATATTTGGTTTGAAAAGTACTTTATTTAGGCACTGCGGAGTAAGAATACAAATTGTTTCATTAAACTTTCCCGAATAGTGTTGAAATTTAACTTTGATATCGTACCAGTAAGTCGCAAATCCCATGTAATATTTTATCAAACTACAACTAAATCTTTTCATATGATATTTAAATATTCATTAACTTCCCGAAGGACACAAGTTTATGTTTTCATCAAAAAATCCGAATTGCTAATTTTATGTTTTCTCGAAATTTCAAGCCATTTTGAATCGAATGAGACCAAATTTGGAAAAAGTATGTGTGTGTGCGTGTATGTGAACAGATTTTTTGCCGTGAATCGACGTTTTCTCGAAAACGGCTAGACCGATTTCAAAAATTTAAAAGCCACTCGATGTATCTCGATGAGGACTATTGTTTGTCAAGTTTTGCGACGATTGGCCAAGCCGTTTCTTTATAAATCGCAAAAAAGTGAAAAATTTTTTGTCTACGTTTTAGCTCGCAATTCTGAATCGATTTTGAAAATTCAAAAACCGTTCGAAAGTTATTGGTTAAGAATCGTGCTAATCAGTTTTTGGTAGAGATCGGCCGGGCCTTTTTCTTGTAATAAAGTTTTTTTATAAAAAAATCGACAATTTTGATGATTATTTTTTTGACGGTAGATACCATAGTTTTCTATATCATACTAAAATATTACGGCACTACGACAACTGGTTTAGCTTTAAAAATTTGTCAAAGTTTGCAAAAATTAGCATGGTATTTTTGGAATTTGTCAAAATTAGAACTTTCATCGGCGATGAGGATTATCGTTTCTCAGTTTTGTGCGACGATCGGCCGAGCCGTTTCTTTGTAATTTGGAAAAAAGTGTTAAACCTTTCGTCCACATTTAAACTCGTATTACCGAACCGATTTTAAAAAATCAAAAACTGTTCGAAAGATATTAGTTGGGAATGATATTGATTAGTTTTAGGTGAAAATCTACCGAGCCGTTTTCTTGTAATTAACTGTTGAAAAAAAATATTAGGCCGATTTTTATGGAACTTTTTTTGGCGATATATATCATGGTTTTATAGAACTTACTGAATTATTACGGCCTTGCGACAAGTAGTTTAATTTCAAAAATTTGTCAAAGTTTGAGAAAGTGAGTAGTTTTTTGACGTTTGTTAAAAATAATATTAGATGATTTAGTTGGAATAACGATAGTGTACTTGGTCTTGAACATAGTAAACCATTAATCCTACGGAAACTGTTTCAATTATAATTATTGATTAATTAAAATTATTGATTTTTGAAAATTTGCTTTTAGAAAATATTCCAAGTTAACGTGTTCGTTCGTTCGTTTGCAATGATGTGTAATAAGTCCACTCGGAATACTTTCAATCGCTTATAAATTAATTTATTTTTAATTGATTAAGTCAATTATTTACACATATCGGGAAGTTCATGTAACTTGCCTCAAGGCTAAATACCAAACCAACCAACTAGTTCTTTAAAATTTCCAAGTGGTGTATACTGTTATACTCGTTGAGCGTGAATTCGAAGGGTTAGTAACACTGATACATACAGAACATACGTGCGGCATGTGCACGAGAACTCCACCCACGGAATGTAAGTCCGGCACTGGCACAGGCATATTGATGATGACGTCATCACGTCCGTCTCCTCCCTGCTTCCCGCCGACTGATGCACCTCCATCTGGTGGACTTCGCCTGGACAGCTCGTCAGGAGGTATCTCCAATGGGGGCTGAGATAGAAATAACAAAAAGTTTTGACAAGGACCATTGATAGTAAAGTATTTTATTATTTTCTTACATCAGGACCGTGTGCCGGATTTTCTGGTGCCATAAATCGCACCAAGTTGGCAGCTAGCTGGTGCCACATGACGCTGGCTTCACAAAATGCACATTCGGTCGGCGTAGCTCCTCGCCCTCTACATATATGATCGCTCATCCAAGATGCCTCCAACATGTGTTTCAGCAATTTGCTAACATCAGCACATACTGCACTATCTATGCCTGCATGCTGCTCCACATCTTGCAATTTCATCTAAACAAATAATAAATTATTATAAAAGGGCGAAATTTATTAACTTCCCTTAGGGTAGTTATAGTAATGGGCCGAGAATCAAAAATAAAAATTCTTCATTTCTCGACGTTTTGAAGGTTTCTGAACATTTTGCCACACCTCAGAACAAATGGATGTGTGCGTGTGTGTGCTTTGTATTCCCGCATTTTTTGTCCACGTTTTCGGGCGCACGGATCAACCGATTTGAATGGTTAAAAAAAATGTGATCCCTATTGATAGGGAGATGTGCTGATTGTTTTGGCAAAGCAGGTCTAGCCGTTCGGAGATACGGAGCAAAGAGTGCAGAAAATACAAATCGAGTTTTTTGAGAGAACGGAGTACAGATTTGAATGATGGAAAAAAATTTCAATTTGCAATGATTGGGAGAAAGAGGTGGGTTATTATTTGGCAAAGACAGGCCCGGCATTTCGATGCTACAGAGCTAAATGTGCAAAAAATGGCAGTTTTAGAGTAAACTAAGCGTTCGATTTGAATGATCTAGAAAATTTTTGCTTGTATTGACAAGCAATTGCTTTTGAGGATAAAAAAAGTAGCATCTTTTTATTTTCATAAAATATTTTTGTAATCTTGGATTAAAAATTCAAAAAAATCCCAGGCTAAGCACAGTCTAAGCGCCCTCTGGTACAATGTTAACCCAAGTGCGTTTAGACTGTTTATGTATGGAGCGCTTTTCCAATTTTGTGAAAACTATTGAAAAATGTGAAAATGCCGTCAAGCTAAGCACAGTATAAGTGAAAATGTCGCACAGAATTATTTGCAAATGCGCTTAGACTGTGACTATACTTTTGCAAAATGCGCACTTTTTCAATTTTGTGTAAATTAGTAAACTATTTTTTTAAATTGAATTCGAAATGAAATGATGATTGTTAATGTTCTGGAGATAAATTGATTTATGATTTACATTTGATTTGCTCAGATATAACAATATATCAAAAATAATGAAAGTTACAGTATTTGTAATAATATATTTGAAAACGTTTAAAATTTCTCGAATATTTCATTACTGTACGGGAAGTTCCACTAATTTGCCTTGCTGGCACGATGCTATACACAACTAGTTAAAGTCAAATTATTAGTAAAAAATGCCTAACCTGTTGAAGCAAAATGTCGAGCATGAGTGTGCAGCAAGTCAAATTATGTTCGGCATCACTGGTAAACTCTGTGGGCCGAAAATTTTGGGCAGCGCCTTCTTCATCAGATATACCGGAGGAGCTGCTCGAATCGTCTTCTACAACTGGATCTATAAATATAACCAATTACATATACTTATAGTGCAGATAATTTACAAACCCAAAGAGTCTAAATCGTAAATTTATATTTTTACTTACAAATATGGGTTTCTTCTTCGTTTTCATTAGTATTTTCAATTATAATCGTGGTATCTTGTTCGAGATCAGCAGCTGCAGCTTGGCGCATTACGCTTACGCCTGATTCAAACATTGAAAATAATTGCTCTAGCGGTATCATAATATCCAGCATTGAAAGTATCTGAAAGATTAATTCATATATTTATAAATTAAAATTGCATAGTTTATGATTAAAATATCTAATGTACCTGCAGCCAATGCAAGGCTTGTTGTTGTATTTTAGCTGTAGTATTCTCGAATCGTACGGCGACAAATCTGTACATCATATGAGCGTCGAATCCAAGAGGATTCATTTCAGGATCAAGAATTTTGCTAAACACTACTTTTAATTCCGGCAGTTCTTTTTCTGGGACATCACTGCTTACGGCTTCCATCCAATTTGGCATTATCTGATCCCAGATTTCAGGTGTAATGACTTCGTAGGGCACCAAACAAAATATACGATGAAGTCCATCCTTGAGATGGGAAGTTCTGCAATATAAAAAATAACTAGTTGGTATTGGTATTTTGCCTTGAGGCAAGTTACCTTGAGTTCCCGATATGTGTGAATAATTGACTTAATTAATAAAATATAAATTAATTTATGAGTGATTAAAAGTATTCCGAGTGGATTTATTACACATATTTGAATACGAACAAACATGTTAACTCGGAGTATTTTCTAAAAGCAAATTTTCAAAAATCAATAATTTTTATAATTGAACCACTTTCCGTAGGACTTTAATGATTTAGTATGTTCATTAAGATCAAGTACTCCCAGTTATACGAAATAAATCGTCTAATTTTAATTTTAACAAACGTCAAAAAAAAACTACTCATTTTCTCAAACTTTGATAAATTTTTAAAATTAAACTATTTGTCCTAAGGCCGTAATATTTTAGTAAGTTAAATAAGACCACGGTATATATCGCCAAAAAAGTTCCATGAAAATCGGCTTAAATTTTTTTTTCAACAGTTAATTTCACCTGAAACTAATCAGTATCATTCCCAACTGATATCGTTCGAACAGTTTTTGATGTTTTAAGATCAATTAGGTTAGAACTGCATCACTGGATGCAGATCTTAGCTTTTTCTTTCTTTGTTAAATTCTAAGCCATGCAATTGATTTTATATCTCCTGTAGATAGATGATCAAATAAAATTATTAAAAAAAAAAAAAAAAAAAAAAACAATTAGGTAGTATAAGCTGAAGTATGGACGAAAAGTTTAACACTTTTTTCTAAGTTACAAAGAAACGGCTCAGCAGATCGTCGCACAAAACTGAGAAAAGATAATCCACATCGAGATACATAGATGGGCTTTTAAATTTTTGAAATTGGTCTAGCCGTTTTTGAGAAAATGTCGATGAAAGTTTTTCTTTCGTCGTTTCGTTTTTCAACTTTTTCCAAATTTGGTCTCATTCGATTCAGAATGGCTTGAAACGTCGAGAAAACATAAAATTAGCGAATCGGATTTTTTTTATGAAAACATGAACTTCTCCTTCGGAAAGTTAATAATATTCTGAATTTTTAACACAATTTACCTGGACGCGAGTGTATCCCAGTGACCACCGACTCTGGAATATTCAGGTGGATGTGGCAGCAAGCAATTAATAAATTCTTCGTAATGTGACTTACATATATCCGCTAACCAAGGACAAACGTGTTGCGTTTTTAATTTTTCCAAAGTGCTTTCTGCTTGACCAGCTTGAGGAAATATAAGACAATTTAATAAGTCACTCTACGCTAAAGTATAAAAGATAAAAGTATTTGACAATAACCTTCAAATGTATAAGCAGTTACATGAAACCAGTGGAACAGCATTGAAAGCAATCGACCAAGTGTCTCAACTGGTGTATCTGGTGTGGGTGCACAAAGTCCAACCAGCAACCAAATACCATATCGACCAAGTAATTGTCTCTCCTCAAGTGTAATACAATCACCAGCAGGCGTCGATACTGGTTGTGGTTTTAGGTCTAAAGATTCCTTGGTAACGTCGAAACTCAATGGACGTGCCTCTTTTAATAAACTAACAGAAAAACAAAATATAATGATAATTCAGATGATTATTATTTGTTCTTTATGATTATACTAAATGACCCGACAGACGTTGTCCTGTACCCATGTCTACAATTTTTTAATATAATATACTATAATTTACCGTTTACCTAAAATTAATAATTATTGTTTTTTAAATTACTCTTCACGCCAAAATGCTAATTCATTTATAATATGAGCAATTTTAAATGTAGAACTACTTTAAATAAAATGATGAGTCACAATTCTCATACTATATTGGAAATTGAAGTCTTTTAAACGGTATAACATAACCATAACCATAACATAACACTGGTACTTCATGTTGGATTAAATTAATTTAATTTTTTATTATTTATGATATCCAAAATTGCATCTTAAACTTCTCTTAATTATATTGAAAAAAAAATTGATATCCGAATCTTGTGATGGCTCCCCCTAAGGCGTGCGCTTGTATTTTTCGCATGCATTGCATTAAAGGTAGGACCGCCACTGATTAATAAATAATTTCATATTTTAAGTGAATTAATTTGTCATATCCTGTTCATATGTGTATCATTCAATCTATACATTTTAATTTCTGGCACATCTCAGCTGATTTTTGGCAATAATAATGTAGACATTTCATTTTTCTTATTCATAATCATAAATTTATTATACATAATCTAATATTGCCTAGGTTCATAAGTAAGCAAATAAGTTAGCAAATTATAGTTTTCATTTGTTTTCAATGAAAACAATGACATGTCTTTTTTTATTATTTTTTCCATTTAAGTATTTCTACAATATTGCACATACATACCAGTACTTTATAATCACATACATCCTAGAAAATTTCCTTAACAAACTTCAGAAAGATTTGTCAAAATCCGAATAATAGTTTAGGAGGAGTATACAATGAGTGCTTGTAATTAAATATGAACTTTATATAATAACAATAAAGCTCAAATTGATTTTTCGTTTTAGTTAGAAAACGTTTGTATGAGAAAAAGAAAAGGCTGTTTTTAGGGTTTTCCCGGCGTTTATTCGATTTTTTCTCGCCGTAAGAACCATCCTTGAATATCAATGAAAATTTGGAAAATTGGTCCAGGCGTTGTTCAGATGTGCGCTTATCAACACATTTTGCGATTCATTTTTATATATAAGATTACCTAACAATAGCTTCGACCAGGTATGTTTGCATCTCAGCGTCCATTTGCCAAGCAGGTGGAAGAGATCTGTGTACAATATGATCTCCACCTCGCCTACTATTATGCCTATTGCAATGGCATTGAAGGCAGTACCTTATAGGATGATTTCCATTATAACTAGCGCATTCTGCTGAGAAACAAATTGATACCGCCGATTTATCTGTTGCTCGACAATTCTGTAAGATTAAGATGTTTACACTTGCTATATGCATACTCGTATATAGTGCAGTAAACGGAGAAGAAAAAAGGGTATAACTCTGAATTTATTTACTGTGCTCCGATCTGCATGAAATTTTGGATTTAGGTTAATCTTACTCTCAAGTTCAAAAGCGATCGATCAGTTTTCGGGTCATAACTTCTTTAACTTTGACTCCATCACAATTTGTAATATACCATTTAAAAGGTAAATAAAAGGGCTACTACTTTTTTAATCAAAATTTTTTTCGTAACTGTTCTCATTTTGAAACGGCGAAGGGTTAAGGGGTAGAGAGAGACTCTGATTGCGCAGCCGCGCACTCTTTAACCAATCATAACTCTGTCAATTTTTGTGTGGAAGAAAGATAATAAAAAGCAATAATTAGCCAGAAAGAGTTCTTTGATTTTTATCTATATGCTTTTATACGTATCTTTTATTATTTTTGAGATATAATGAAAATAAGTTCGATTTTTAAAAAAATCGAAAAAAAAATATTTTTATTAAATCTTGAGTTTTCTGAAAATAGTTTGTACTAAAGTAGTGAATTTGCTCGAATCCTTCAAGATCTTTATTATAAAGTGAATTCTAGATGGAATGTGAATAACTTGAATTTTGGTGGAAATGGCGCTCTTAAACCATATTTGCATGATAGCTCACTCATTTTACACGCAAAAAGCTTGTAACAGAACTCATTTTAAAGCTTATGTTGAGCACTCTAAAACACAATTTCACTGAAATGCACAAAATGTAACACCTCGCCGCTAGATGGCTTTAAATACAACAACTAAATTATTGTATTAATATTATTTTAAGAACTTAATATTATTTCTAGAACACTTTATAAGACATCTATTTATCAATGTTTTTATTGACATTATTTTGTTCATTACATGATTTTCGTTAAAATGTATATTTTAGGAGATATTTGCAAAAAAAAAAAACGAAGATAAACGCCAAAAATATATGAATTTTTAGTAAACATTAACTTTTTTTGAAAAACTTTAGAGGATATTTTTTTCTTATAATTAGTTCTTCTATCGATATCTGAAGTTATTTTGAAAAAATTAAATTACACAACTGAAAAGTATGGTGTCATCCCCCGCGGGGTAGTGGCGGAGTCCGAATTGTTTTCACTTTTAAACATGAGGGTGGGTGGGAAGATGAACCTAATTCTAAAATTTTATGCAAATTGGAGCACATTGATAGGAGTAATATTAGATTTACCACCTACTTTGTTCTCGCAGATCATAGAAACTTGTTGCATCGGATGCAAAGTATCACTGAATGCCTGATTCGGGTGTTCGCGATGAATTTCATTGGCACATTCGATGCATAAATACAAGGGCGGCGGAGAATCAGAGGCATAAGTAATACTTATGCAGTGGTCGTAACAAACTTTACTTGCTTCGGCAGCGCCGCCACTGGGACAATTATCTCTTTGGCACGGTAATGGTGAAAGATCACCTAAAAAATTATTCAAGACCATTGACAAATAATGATGTTGCACCTTACTTTATTTCATCTTACTTGCAAATTTGCACAGCAATCCTTTACGATCGAACAGATTTGCATTAAATGCTGGCCAGTAGTAAAACAATAGTTTGGCAGCTGAAGCCCGAGATGCAGCAGTACCATAGGCTATAACGCATAACAAATCTTTAACTACGTTTTGTTTTAGAGCCATTAGGCACTCCAATAGCTGACAATGGTGTGCTGAAAATATACGCATTATTGGCATATTATTCAAGATTTTTAAGCCACCTGAATAGAACATCATAAGCATTACCTGGATTGTTGGAATATTGGAAAACTAGCATAATAACAGCTGCTACAGATTGACAAGCCTGGCTTTCTAAACCATCTTCAGTATGACGAGCTATTAATTATAAATATTTTAAAAATTTATTAAAAGACTGTAAAATCTTTTCTAAAAACTGATATATAAATTCATTGATTATGCAGAAAGTTGTATCAAGTTTATTTTTAACTTCCCGAAGGACAAGTTTGTTTTTATCAAAAAATTCGACTCGCTAATTTTATTTTTTCTCGACGTTTCAAGCCATTCTGAATCGAATGATACCAAATTTGGAAAAAGTATGTGGGTGTGTGCGTGTGTATGTGAACAGAGTTTTTGCCGTAAATCGACGTTTTCTCAAAAACGCCTGGACCGATTTCAAAAATTTAAAAGCCATTCGATGTATCTCGATGAAGACTATCGTTTGTCAGTTTCTTTATAAATTGTAGAAAAGTGAAAAAAAATTCGTCCACGTTTTAGACCGTAATTCTGAATCGATTTTGAAAATTCAAAAACCATTCGAAAGTTATTGGTTGGAAATCGACCTGATTAGTTTTTGGTAAAGTTCGGCTGGGCCGTTTCTTGTAATAAAGTGTTAAACAAATTTTTTTCGACGATTGTCATTATTTTTTTTTGAAGATTGATACCATAGTCTTATAGATCATACTAAAATATTACGGCCTCACGACAAGTAGTTTAATTTTAAAAATTCATCAAAGTTTGAGGAAATGAATTGTTTCTTTGACGTTTGTTAAAATTAAAATTATACGATTTACTTGGAATAACGATAGAGTACTTGGTCTTAATGAACATACTAAACTGTTAAAGTCCTACGGAAACTGGTTCAATTATAAAAAATTTTGATTTTTTAACATTTGCTTTTAGAAAATACACCGTGTAAATAAATTAATTTATTTTTTTTTATTTATTAAGTTGATTATTTACACATATCGCGAAGTTCATGTAACTTGCCTCAAGGCAAAATACCAATACCATCTAGTTAATAAATAAGCTTTGCTATTTTCTGAATTCTCAGTCTTATTTATTACCATGTATACTTACTAATTGTAAATGGAAGAATGAAGAAACACAACGAATTTATAACTTCTTGGTGAAGAGTAGGTGGCAATGCTAACATGCATGATGCAGCAAGAAATGGTATATTGTCAATCATATCTTGTTCCAAAAATGGCAACAGGCAGCCTAAACATTGCAGCAATGACTGTCCAAAAGCTAAAAATGTTGAAAATTGTAACGAAAATGTTAAAATGAAAAGTAGCATAGCCTTATACCTTGTAATCCATACTGAACATAGCCTGCGACATCTAATAATTGCACTAAAGCATTATAAAGACCTTTGTAATCTAAATTTGGGTAAAGAGCCATACGTAAATGATCATTGTCTGGAGAACGCAACATATCTAACGGCGACGCTGGAACATCTTTTAGGACAGCTAAAAAAAAATTCGCATTAACGGAAGACAGACATATAAATTTATTTATAATAAGACTTATTATTAAACTTACTTAAAAGAGTTTGAGAAAAATATTTAATTGTGTTGGCAATGTCCAGACCAGAAGGCACTGGCATAACGCCGTGCAGAAGTCGAAGCTGGTAGTCGTATAAGCAGCGAATCTTAGCTGTAACTGCAACACAATTTTATGAAGATTAATTAATTAATTGAAAATTTTTCTATAAATAACATATATCAATGGTTGTCATTAATTATAAGAATAGAATAGACGTCCATCCTAACCAACTAGCATGTTGTTTATATCAGGAAGGCCAGCCGGCTAGGCTTAACAGAAAAATACTTGGAGACCTATAGTTTAATTAATTATAATACTTTCATTTTACTACATTATTGTTTTTTTATAAAAAAAGTGCAAAATAATTAAAATTCATATGATTTTAATGAACAAAATCTTCAATTTTATATAATTATTATCAAATTAATTACTTACACGCAGCTGCCCGAGTTCCCATATTAATCAGCTGAATTTTAAAACTTCCGTGCATTTTGATTTTTTGTAATAATCAGCTAGCCAAAATTGATCAAGAAGTTATTTTTAATTGATTTTTAAACTGCATCGCGACAGAGTCATCTACTTGCATATTGTTCCACTTCCATTATTAACAAAAATTGATTTATTTAATAAATTATAGAATGACATTTCATGAACATCTTTATTCTATCCCCAGATAAATATCTGGATGCTGCTAGAAAATCAATAACCCATCCCCGATTTGCCCCATTCATCCCCATAGCATGCTTTCGAACCTTTAATCGCATCTCACATCCAAAACGGTTTAAATTATATTCAAAATATATGAATACTAAAGTACACACAAATATTAATTTATTATTTTTAGTATGTTGTTTATTATTCTGTTACATTTTATTATAATTATTGCTCTATTTGTTTTTGACCATGCAACAACCAGAGCTGCTTATTATATTCAGCAAGCTATTATGATTTTATTTATAACTAGTTTTCTAAGTCAACCCCATGGTTGATTTATGGTTAACATATTTTGGTTTTGGATCATTTTTTTTTTTAGTGAGCATTTCATGTTGTTGCATTTCTAATTGTTATTATTTCTGCAATTCTGCCTTAACAGAACTCATAAAACAGCGTTGTCATAGCAACGCTCTATTATGTTGTTTTTGGTAGTGAGAATTATGAAAATGTCTATCTATTTGCTATGCAGTTATCATAACATTCTCCCTTGCTTTGTCTTGAAAAACTGGTTAACACGAGTCATTTTTTTAAAAAAAACGGTTTTATAATTTTTCCAATACTGGTATCAAACGATTCCTAATGACTTCAAACGTCGAGAAAACATAAAAGTAACAAATCGCATTATCTGGGAAAAACATAACTTTTTCTTTAGGAAATTAAAACTAATATCACATGCGTCTAATGTTTGTTTGAGAATTCGTTAGAAAAGACAAACTTTTGTCAGAGGTTTAGAACTTCTATTTATCTTTTATTATTACAAATGTGCGGCTTAATAGTAAATTACATATTTTGTTTAATAAAAAGAGTAAATGAAAGTATTACTATTGGATATAATTGATGTTAATGATATTAATTGATCTAAATATTAATTATCAGATGTATAATATTTGATGAAATAGAAGTCTGAGTACAGTATTAAATTGGATTCAAACATTTGTTTAAGTTATTATATATATTATAATCTGATATTGACTTAAATTAAAATGAAAGCACAATATAATATAAAACTGTTTTATTATATTTTCTAAATTTCATATAAACTTATAGATATAATCCAAACATGCTTATTCGAATCTGCTTAAATAAAACTTAGAACTATATTTTTCGATGATAGTCAGGACTGGCATTGACAAAATCTTGCATATTAAATAATGTTGAACTGTTTTTCACTAAATATTTTAAAAAGTCTTGTATATGAACCATTAAAGTTGCTACTGATTTTTCATCTAATTGAGTAAAAGCTAGCAATGATCCCAAACGAACAAATAATCTCAAAAGATGTATAGAACCATATATCTCAGACATCTTTGTATTGGGATGATTTTGTAAAATTTCTGCATATTGTGGTCTTTCAAATTTATATAGTAATTGGGAACCTAATAAAACATTAAAATATTCTAAAATTCCTCTTGCTACTTCTACAAGAGCGGATTCTTTATTAGAGTTGTGAGATTTGCTGCTTTGTTTTTGTTGGATGTAGTCATCAATGATTTGAGAAACTGTATTCCTTGCTGGCAATGCAAGCAGTTTTCTTTGCCGACAAATTGCATCCCAATCATCGACTAACCAAGGTTGTAACTCATCTGGTATTTTTATTTTGATTTCAACTTTTGCCATAAACTGCTCTTCTGATTCAACCCCGGTATCAACTCTGCTTCGTTTCCGCCTGAAAAAATCATCAAATAGTTTTAAACAACTATTTTATCACAAATATGTTATATTAAATATTTTACTTTGAAACATCGACTGAGTCTTGGGATAAAGGTGTAGCCAGTTTTTTAGTCCGTGAAGCTGGTGTGACACTGGTTCCATCTTGACTTGGTGTTGAAGATCTAGATGTTCCTTCTTTTTCCTCTTTCTCCTTAGTTAGGGAAGTGTCAGCTTTCTTAAGTTTTGCAGCTATAATTTTTAACAAAATATAAATATTGATTGGTATAAATATATGAAGATATTATTCAAATTAATTTCTTACTTCTCCCAAAACTGATTATTTTGTTTTAAAGTACTCACATTTTTTTGCCTTAGCGGATTGTGAAGAATGTGCCTTTTGAACTTCTTTTTGTTTTTGCACATTTGTCTCATTGTATTTCAAAACCCTGCTTTCTGGAACCCACTCGTCCCAACTGGAAATAAAACAAGAAATTGCACAAATGTGCTGAAACAATTCTTTGAAATGAAAAATAAATTATATTAGAGAATTAATTGAGAATTCAATACTGATCAAGATATAACAATTTCTTGTTTTTAATAACTATTTCTAGTGTATGTTTAATGTTGTGAGTAGTATTTCAGTCCCTATACTATACTTTTTATTCCAGCCTGCATAGTGTATCAAATATTTTATTTGCTTTTCCTTCGTAAGAGAACTCTTCAAGCATTTGGCTTCATAGATTAAAGGGCCATGGAAACAAAGTACTTTTTCACCTAAAATATGTGCATAGGATTAGCATTTATTATGTATATAAAATTAACGAATCTCACCTTCGGAAAATTTGAACTTTGGAGCCATTTTTGAAAAATTCTTTACTTAAAATTGTGAAATTGTGTTCAAAAATATAAATATGAAAATGCACACAAACAAAAAATGACAATTGCGAACTGTCAGGTCAGAACGCTTTGTATATAATAATAGCCAACATTGAAAAAATTGTAAATCTGGTTTATTCAAAACGTAGGTCGCCGCCACACAACATATGAATATATCTTATGATACCTTATCCTAATATTATCCTAATATATAGGGCTGCTGCCACACATCCTGTAAACACATGAAAAACTAGTTTGGTCTAATTTAATAAGTTTTCACATTTTGTCTACAAGGAACAAATAATGAAAATTCTGTTTTTTTGTAAATTTATCATGCATGCCAGCGGTCTACGAAAAATCATGTTAGACAACTTGAACATTTGACTTGTCAACTTGTCATGACCATCATGTCGTTTCTTAATTCTTACTCAAAAAAACCTTACTCATACATTACACGTTTCTTGTCATTACTCCTTTATTATCGTATTTTTAATCATATATTTATATTCATATAATTTTAAAGATACAGTATATTAATTTTTAGCAATACAATTTTAATTATTAAATTTATTAAAAATTAAGTTACTAAATTTATATATTTACTTTATGAGTTTAAATTTATTGTATAGCTATGGCTAATATAGATACATTATGCATTGAAAATTTAGAAATGAATTCGAAAGAAGTTTATCTCAAAGCGAGTGAAATATTATTGAAGCTATTAAAAAACATAGTAGATAATCCAGATAACCAAACTTATAAAAGTATAAGAGTTACAAATCCAAATATATCTTCAAATCTACTAAATGCTCTAGGAGCTGAAGAATGTTTGATCAAAATAGGTTTTGTTAAAGTATGTAAAACATTAATTTCAAAGGAAAATAATAATTTTGTCCTTACATTAAATTAAATATATATATTCTAGAAATTGTATAGGTCAAAATATTGTATTACATTTGAGCGTTTCACATCTTTGAAATAAGTTATCTGTTTATAGATATAACTGTACTTTATATAATCTTGTACTTAATTTTAATATATATGCTTAAAATGCTCACATGCTCAGAAATAATATAATATCTTATGACTATTATTCAATTATTAAGTCGATTGCTGAATTAATGCTGTCTTTTCAGATAAATGATCGATTAACTTTATCACCAAGTATTTCTGTAAATTCTATATATGAATATTATGAATATTTACTAATACGAAGAACAATTATTTTATCTCAAACTGATGCAAATAACGAAAGTATAGTTGATAGTACTTGTGACAAACCCAAAATACAGACAAATATAGAATCTGAACAGATTAAGAGTGAATATGATCAAAACCAGCCGTCAACTAGTAGAGGCTCCAGGAGTGAATTGATGAAAAGTGCCCCAAAAACAATATTAGTAAATATTTATAATAAATATCTTTTAGTTGCTTCAGTTATTTAAACAAAACTTTATTGTTGTTTATAGAAATATCAATTTTTTTTTTTATAGAACGCACCAAATCAATTTTTGCGATCCTTAGAGACACATTCCTTAGCTGTACTTGCTTATGAAAATCCTGCATTATTAAGGAAGGCATTAAGCTGTATTCCAGTAGTACAATTAGAAATTAACGCATTGGAAAGAATGAGAAGCATACAGAAGTCTATAAAGTCTGGTAATATATTGAGAAGAGAGATTATAATAGTGTTCATGTTCATCATTTTGTTTTATGTACAAAATATTATTTAGGAAGTTATATAGGCAATGAACCATTAATTGAGGACTTGATTTTACTGGAGTTACTAGATTGGTTCAAAAATCATTTCTTTACCTGGGTTGATAAACCATCTTGTGAAAATTGTGGAAATGAAAGTACAACTTTTGCTGGCAACTGTATTGTTGCTACCGAAAGGGTTGAGGTCAGTTAAAATACAAATCTTTACTGTTTTAGTATAACAAAATATTAATAGACTCAAAAAACTAACCTGATAGCTTTTCCAGCAAGGCATAAAAAATATCATTACTGGAATTTATCCTCGAAAAATACAAAAACTAGTTTATTACTCTTTCTAGGTGTACAGGTGCAATTCATGTGCATATAAAACAAATTTTACTCGTCATTGCGACCCAGAGATTTTATTAAGCACTCGAAGGGGAAGATGTGGAGAATGGGCTAATTGTTTTACTCTTTTATGTAGAGCTATGGGATGGCCTGCCAGACATGTTTTAGATGAATCAGATCATGTGTGGACGGAGGTAAAAATAAGGCTTTCACACATTTTTTCTATCTTACTTTATCTTAGCTTACCTGTTATTATTTTTATTATAAGGTATATAGCGAAGGTGAAGGTCGATGGCTTCATTGTGATCCCTGTGAAAATGTATGTGATAATCCCTTAATATATGAGCAAGGTTGGGGAAAGCAACCAAAATATATTATTGCTTATGCATGTGATGACGTACAAGATGTTACATGGAGGTATACAACAGATTTTAAAGGTGTGTATATTAGTGTTCTAATTACAATGTTTTTTTATTGTAAGTTATGTTATTTATATTTAGGAGCTTTAAAAAGAAGAAATTTATGTTCTGAGGAAGAACTTTTAATGACCATAGAAAAATTGAGGAATCAGAGGCAGAAAAATTTATCAGTAAACCGTAAAAAGTATTTAGCAAAGAGAACTGTTGAAGAATTAGTAGAATTTATGACTCCAAGGTAATTTATATATAAAGTATAAAGAGTAAAAATTATATAGGTATAATAAGTAAATAATATTGTAAAGCAAATTTGTCACAACCAAATTGTTTATTTAATTTGCAACTATCAGCTCTGTTGTATTTTAATCTCATCAGTAGTCCATATGCTTCTTTCTAACTAATTTTTAGAAATCCTAAAGACTCAGAAAAACAAGGTCGAACCTCTGGATCTCTAGGTTGGCGTTTAGCTCGTGGTGAAACAAAAGAAGAGTCTAATCAATATGTTTGGTATATTGACGAACTATCATTTCCTTCACTGGAAATTGATAAAAAGTGTTTCAAAATGCAGTATTCTATTTGTCAAGATTTGTACGAATGTGTAGATAATAAAAATAATATTATAAAAACCATAAAAGGCTGGAATAAGGGGATATACTTCACCAAAGATGTATTTAGAAAAGAAGAACGAGATTGGAAAATGGTTTATTTAGCAAGAAAGGGTTGGTATATAATCTAATAATAAAAACTTCTGCTTATATACATACAATTAAGAAATGATGGTGTTTTGTTTAAAACAATTTTAGAAAATGCATCTGAAGGCGAGTTAGTATGGCGTTTTGCTATAAAAGATCAAAATCATGTGATTGAAGATATAAATGCAAAAATTAAAACGGATGTATTTGAGAATGGCAATATATCCTGCATGATCTGCAGTGAAAATATTTGTCTGCGTGTCAAACAAAGTATGATTTTTTTTTCTTTTCTGCACAAACACATATTAGTAAATATTATTTTTTTTAGGTAATACAATTCAAAACTATACTGATTTTAAAGGACAAAAATATATTGAAATCAAATTAAAATTATCTGGCGGAAAAGGTTCTGTGTCTTGGCAACATGCTCAGGTGTTTCGACAAAAAATGTCTTCCATAGCATTACCAATGCAAATTAATATAACTATAAAAAGTATTTAATTAGCAGTATAATTGATATAGATGTATATATTCAAGTTAATATAATATAGTTTGATTATATTTTTTTGGTACTGTTTTTTATTAACCTTATTTCCTAGTATTTATAATCAGACAGATTGAATATATAAGAGAAAAATTTAAAATGAAATATATAGATTGTTTTACAAGTTTTGAATTGCAAGCTTATTTCAGGACTTGTCCGTTAATTTTCTGATATTAATATATTATTTAAATAGTATCATTAGTACATGCATTCATTAATTAAGAAAGATTATTATAACTTGTTGTAATACTGCATATCATATTCTACACTCTATTTTATTACTCTTTATATATATATATGTTAGAGGTATGTTAGAATGATGGTAATAAGTCTGTAAAATAGGCAACTTATTGATTTATTACAAATAATTATTTATACATAAGTTTATAAGGGCAAAGTTTAGAAATATTTAATATTGATGATAATGCGATATAACAATATAATACTTTTTGTGAGAACATTGGAAAAGCATATGCAAGTCTTAAGGTTTTTGGCAAATTAATGACATCAAATTTATCTATAATAGTTCTGGATGTTCTATTATCCTCATACAAATGGGTTATTTCTTTGTGGTTTGAATACTATTTAAACTTTTGTTATAAACATAAGTAATTCTCTAGAGCACCTACCAACAAGTGATTCATATAAATGTTGGTGGCACTACGACAATGGCGTACTTCACATTGTTTTTGTTGTCATTTCAAACCAAAAAAAAGTATTGGAAATATTTGTTCGTTTATTTATATATTTATTAATGTAATTTATAGGTTTTTTAACGTTTTTTAACACTTTGGCACTATAACTTGTAAACCTAATAGTGTTTGTAAATGCGGTTATGATTTGATTGTCAACAAGTAGATTTACTTTGAAATTTTCCTAATTAATTAGAGCAATACGAGGTTTGCAGTTTTATAATTGATATCCAGGCTTTATTTTAAGTTATTTTCAGGTAGTGTCAGTGTGTAGTTTTGCATCAGTATTAAGTTTACCAATGTTTTTTAACACTTTGGAGCTAAAACTTGTAAACCTATAGTGTTTGTAAATGCGGTTATGATTTGATTGTCAACAAGTAGATTTACTTTGAAATTTTCCTAATTAATAAGTGCAATACGAGGTTTGCAGTTTTATAATTGATATCCAGGCTTTATTTTAAGTTATATTCAGCTAGTGTCAGTGTGTAGTTTTAATCAATTAGTTTAAAAATGTTGCTATGTAATTTATGTCACTGACAGATACAAAATTCAAATTGGTGAAATATATGTTTAATTAACGTGTGCGATTGAGGTTTCGCATATTTATTGTGTAAAGCATAATGTTGTACTTCACTTTTAGTGTGGTTTTAATAATTTGCTTCAAAATTGTTTGATGCTGTAGTAATTCCTAAATCAATTTCATTAGCTGTTATAATGCCTAATTTCTGAAGGAAAAGTGTTTAAAAGCGTGCGGAATTGTGTTTTAACTCGGTTTATCATATTTATCAAGGCATTTCGCCCATATCGTCGTCTGATTTAAACAGAAATTTCGAATGGGATTTATGTTTTCCTTCAGGTGATGTTTTTGTTCAGCATTTGCATCCGCCATTTTGAATCCGTGCAACAGCTATTAAACTAGCTACTAATCAGCTCGCAGCTCATTAGCGCGTCAGCATCCGAACTGTTAACATCTCCGCGCAGTGCAGTGCAACAAATTAGTGCATATTATTATTTTAAATCAAAACTGTGTCTAAAAAGTGTGTTCTCGTGTGCAACGAGCATTTAAAAGAAGGTAAGTGCTGCTATTTTGTATTATTTTGCACAAATATTGCATTTTACTATCACGACAAGTGACGCCGTCTGGTTCTGATGCCAACGATATTTTGCGTGTTTTAAAATGTTGTATCCATGCTTTATTTGTTCATTTACGATAAATATATGTATGTTTATTTGATATTATTGCACTTTTTTCTATTATTTATTGAGATTTTTGCACTTTTTTTGCAATTTAAAATTTGCGTTTTTGGATAATCCAAGATGGCGGCCATAACCATAACCGATGGTTTTGTTCTGTTTTAAACAATACAGTCGTTTCCACGACGTATTAATAATAAAAATTTGATACATTTTGATCTGGTGTATCTATTTAGATATCAAAAATAGGTCTGTACATTTTTTTTGCAAAAAAGCAAACTTAAGTTTTTTGGTGTTGTACCGAAAAAAAATGGCGGCTCTCAACTGTCAACTAACGAAAGTTTGAATTGAAATTTTAGCAATACAATCGTATCTGCAATTATAATATAATTTCATTTCACGAACTGAATACAATTTTGTATGAAAATTTCAAATTATTTGCAATTGAATAAAGTTCTATTCATATTGTTTTCATTATCATAAATTCTTTGTATCGAACATAAATTACATACATTGTTAGAAGATCTGCTCTTTTCTTCTATTAATACTTCAATTTTATGATAAATATACAACGATACTATTATTTGAACGTTTGCTTTTTTTTATTATATTTTTGAAGATGACCAGCGGCGATATTATAAATTGGATGTTTGCCGCATTTTTATTATTTTTGGCAACGATATTATAAATTGAACGTTTGCCGCTTTTTATTATTTTTGGCAACGATATTATAAATTGGACGTTTGCTGCTCTTATTATATTTTTGGCAACGATATTATAAATTGGACGTTTGCTATTTTTATTATATGTTTGGCAACGATATTATAAATTGGACGTTTGCCAATTTTTATTATTTTTGGCAACGATATTATAAATTGGACGTTTGCCGCTTTTTATTGTTTACACAATATTATTAAATATACTTTGGCTGTTTTTATTATATTTTTGGCAACGATATTATAAATTGGACGTTTGCCGTTTTTATCATATTTTTGGCAACGATATTATAAAATGGACGTTTGCCGTTTTTATCATATTTTTAGCAACGATATTATAAATTTGACGTTTGCTAATTTTTATTATATGTTTGGCAACGATATTATAAATTGGACGTTTGCCGTTTTTATTATATTTATGGCAACGATATTATAAATTGGACGTTTGCTATTATAATTATTTTTTGGCAACGATATTATAAATTGGACGTTTGCCGTTTTTAATATATTTTTGGCAACAATATATTAAATTGGACGCTTGCTGTTCTCAACTAAAATAAAATCTAAACAATAATTATTACTTTTTTAAATAGTAATTGCATTTATTAATTGAAGTCTCTTTTAATTACAGATATGAGCCATCAACGGGAACAATGACGTCAAAGTAGATCCTCTGGAACATCCAAGGTCCTCAATATTAAGATCTTCATCAGTGATGGAAATTATCAGGTACTAATATAGTACACAATATTATTAAATATACTTTGGCTGTTTTTATCATATTTTTGGCAACGATATTATAAATTGGACGTTTGCCGTTTTTATTATATTTTTGGCAACGATATTATAAAATGGACGTTTGCCGTTTTTATCATATTTTTAGCAACGATATTATAAATTGGACGTTTGCTAATTTTTATTATATGTTTGACAACGATATTATGAATTGGACGTTTGCCGTTTTTATTATATTTATGGCAACGATATTATAAATTGGACGTTTGCTATTATAATTATTTTTTGGCAACGATATTATAAATTGGACGTTTGCCATTTTTTATTAAATGTTTGGCAACGATATTATAAATTGGACGTTTGCCATTTTTTATTATATGTTTGGCAACAATATCATAAATTGGACGCTTGCTGTTCTCAACTAAAATAAAATCTAAACAATAATTATTACTTTTTTAAATAGTAATTTTATTTATTAATTGAAGTCTTTTTTAATTACAGATATGAGCCATCGACGGGAACAATGACGTCAAAGTAGATCCTCTGGAACATTTAAGGTCCTCAATATTAAGATCTTCATCAGTGATGGAAATTACCAGGTACTAATATAGTACACATGTTGCAATATTATTAAATATACTTTGGCTGTTTTTATTATATTTTTGGCAACGATATTATAAATTGGACGTTTGCCGTTTTTATCATATTTTTAGCAACGATATTATAAATTGGACGTTTGCTGCTTTTTATTATATTTTTGGCAACGATATTATAAATTGGACGTTTGCTATTTTTATTATATGTTTGGCAACGATATTATAAATTGGACGTTTGCTGCTTTTTATTATATTTTTGGCAACGATATTATAAATTGGACGTTTGCTATTTTTTATCATATGTTTGGCAACGATATTATAAATTGGACGTTTGCTGCTTTTTATTATATTTTTGGCAACGATATTATAAATTGGACGTTTGCTATTTTTATTATATTTATGGTAACGATATTATAAATTGGCCTTCTGCTATTTTTTATTATATGTTTGGCAACGATATTACAAATTGGACGTTTGCCGTTTCTATTATATTTTTGGCAACGATATTATAAATTGGACGCTTGCTGTTCTCAACTAAAATAAAATCTAAACAATAATTATTACTATTTTAAATAGTAATTCCATTTATTAATGAAATCTCTTTTAATTACAGATATGAGCCATCATCGGGAACAATGACGTCAAAGTAGATCCTCTGGAACATCCAAGGTCCTCAATATTAAGATCTTCATCAGTGATGGAAATTATCCAGGTACTAATATAGTACACAATATTATTAATTGGACTTTGGCTGTTTTTATTATATTTTTGGCAACGATATTATAAATTGGACGTTTGCCGTTTTTATCATATTTTTAGCAACGATATTATAAATTGGACGTTTGCTGCTTTTTATTATATTTTTGGCAATGATATTATAAATTGGACGTTTGCTATTTTTATTATATGTTTGGCAACGATATTATAAATTGGACGTTTGCTGCTTTTTATTATATTTTTGGCAACGATATTATAAATTGGACGTTTGCTATTTTTTATCATATGTTTGGCAACGATATTATAAATTGGACGTTTGCTGCTTTTTATTATATTTTTGGCAACGATATTATAAATTGGACGTTTGCTATTTTTATTATATGTTTGGCAACGATATTATAAATTGGACGTTTGCCATTTTTTATCATATTTTTAGCAACGATATTATAAATTGGACGTTTGCTATTTTTATTATATTTTTGGCAACGATATTAAAAATTGGACGTTTGCCATTTCTTATCATATTTTTAGCGACGATATTATAAATTGGACGTTTGCTATTTTTTATTATATTTATGGTAACGATATTATAAATTGGCCTTCTGCTATTTTTTATTATATGTTTGGCAACGATATTACAAATTGGACGTTTGCCGTTTCTATTATATTTTTGGCAACGATATTATAAATTGGACGCTTGCTGTTCTCAACTAAAATAAAATCTAAACAATAATTATTACTATTTTAAATAGTAATTCCATTTATTAATTGAAGTCTCTTTTAATTACAGATATGAGCCATCTGGAACATCCAAGGTTCTCAATATTAAGATCTTCATCAGTGATGGAAATTATCAGGTACTAATATAGTACACAATATCATGTTTTTACTAATCATGTTTACTTATCTATGCACAATATTATTAATTGGACTTTTGCTGTTTTTATTATTTTTGGCAACGATATTATAAATTGGACGTTTGCTGCTCTTATTATATTTTTGGCAAGATGGCGCTTCTGCGTTGAAATGTCAAACTGACATTTGAGCAATTGAAGAACAGTCATTCTCTTTGTGTTTAATAAACTGAAAATTTAATAAAGATAATTTATTGAACTTACCGATAAGATGCAAGGTAAATTTTGTGTTTTTATGATTAATTGTGCTTGCAATTATTTCGAATATTGTTTTCAGAATCTACAAGGCCTGAGTTATATGAAGAGGTGAAATTATATAGAAATGCTCGTGAGAGAGAGAAGTATGTGATAATGTATTTTCCTAAATATTTTAGATCATTTATTGGTAAAAGTAAGGTTTGTAAAAGTACTGCAGCAATTGCATTTTAAAAATTAAACACTCATTGAGTGGTCATGATTTATATTCATCTAAATAAATTCGTGCATATAATTTTTTCATATTTTCAGATATTATATGATTCCCTAGTTAAAAATGAAATTCTATAAATACTTTTCTGATAATTCAGAATTATTTACAGTAATCATGATAATTTTTTGTTATAGGCACGATAATATGACAGATTTGTATGCTGTTATTAGTACAATGCAACATTTAGAAAAGGCTTACATAAGAGATTGTGTTACACCTCAGGTAATTTATAAATAATTTTCTTAATGCCAAATATAAACTTAAATTTTATTGTTTCTTTTATATATATATATATATATATATATATATATTATATATCTTTACTAGGAATATACAGCAGCATGTTCGAAGCTGCTAGTTCAATATCGGGCAGCATTCAAACAAGTTCAAGGTGATGACTTCCCTAACGTTGAAGCATTTATAAATAAGTACAAGGTAAACTTTCTTATGACATATGTACATATATATCATGTTTATCTAACAATATTTTATCTTATTAGCTAGACTGTCCTGCAGCTTTAGAACGTATTAAAGAAGATCGACCAATTACTATCAAAGATGATAAAGGCAATACAAGTAAATGTATTGCTGATATTGTTTCAGTAAGTTTCTTTATGTTTGAGTTTATGAAGAAAAGTTTATGACAAAATGATTTGTAGCCATATATTATCTTTTTGATTAAATTTGTTAAATTATTTTTATATATCTTATACTTTTGAATTTGTGGTCCATACAATCAATCTAATCATTTCAACAAATCAATACATTTATTAAATTAGGCACTGATATCATAAAAGTTATTAATATTTTAATATATTACATACATCAAATTTAAATATAAATTTTAGCTCTTTATAACTCTGATGGACAAATTACGTTTACAAATACGTGCTATGGATGAACTTCATCCAGATGTCAGAGACCTGGTAGAAACCATGTCAAGATTGAGTTTGTTACCTGCTGATTTCGAAGGAAAACTAAAGGTTTCTTGAAAAATAATAGGTTATCACACAAAACTTAAAAGATTTTAACTATAATTTGAATTTTTCAGATTGGATCTTGGCTATCTCGATTGAATAATATGCAAGCCTCTGATGAATTGTCTGATTCAGAAGTCAGACAGCTATTATTTGATTTAGAAAGCTCATATGATGCTTTTAATAAAACTCTTCATCAAACTTAGTTTTGAAATAACAGTTATATATATGATAGGTATAAGATATGATATTATAATGGAAAATGAATTTATTCAGTGTATCTATAATCGCCGTTTTATTCAGTTAAAATAAATATGTATATACTTACATGAAAATTCAAGTATGTATATATATATATATATATATATATATATATATATTGTAGAGCTTTGAACAAAGAATCCAAAAATTAATAAAGAAAAAAAAGTTTTTTAATAAATTATTTCTTTATTTATTTATTTACTGTCGACGTTTTGGAACTAGGTATGTCCCATCTACAGGACATCTGTCAAGAAACATGATCTTGATAAAATTTAAGCAAACAATATGTTTAAGAAAAACAGAAAATGGTGAATTTTTTATATAAAATGAATAAATAATGGAAAAAATAATGTACAGAAATATGACATATAATGAAAATGATAAAAATAAATGATTGGATTATATAACAGAATATTAGAAATGTTAAAAAATCTGAAAGTTTTAAAAAAAGGTATTTTTATAATACCTTTATTTTTAACTAATTTGTTTTTGCTCTTTGGGTTCATTCTACGTTTGAATTGTTGGTACCATTGGTCGGCCGCGTGTTTCTAAAACCGATGTTACTTGACAGAAAGTACGTCAAGCATCGGGTTCAGTAATGTTGCTTTTAATAAAATTGTAATTATTATAGTTCCTATACGTTATTTACGTATATAATTTCGAATTTACACAACAACCTGATGAATAAATCATTTCCATATAACAACATAGAGAATGGTTGAAGAAATAAATGAATTCGCTAATGATCAGGTATGCTAAATATAACCTAACTTAAAGAGTTGGGTATTTTATATTAGATAATTATATTGAATTTCTTTTTATTTTCTGTATTCAACTCGGAAGTATATTTGAAAGGAAAAGATGAAATAGTGTACTTAGTGATACTTTATTGAATGTTATAAAATAGTGTGGTGGTAGATAATAGTTAACATGTGTGTCATTGTTTTATACCACCAACTCAATGATTTCTCATAATTATTGCATTATTGCCTTGTAATTGGTTTATTACATATTATGATTTTATTTTTGACATCTTTTTGTCTAGGCCCAATTTGACCTGCAAATGACTGATATAGAAGAGCGTTTATATAGTCATATATATCATAATTCTAGTGCACATCTAATTAATGATATATCTTTAAATGCTGAAATCCAAGATGACAAATCTTTTGTATGTGGAACATCCAATGTGACAAAATCGCAGAAGGAAGATAATATTATCACAATTTTATCAAATGATAGCGATGATGATATTGTCGAAATAGTTGAAAAGAAACCCATTTGCATTGTCATAGATAGCGACAATGAAGGAAAAAATCATGCAAATGGAAAAAATGAAAGTTTTGTAATACCAGATCATGGAAGATATCTGAATAATCCCAATCACCAGACTGATAATAAAAAGAAAAACACAATTTTAGGTAAAAATAAAATACAAGCAAATAAGACTAGGAATAGAAATAATATGAAGCTCGCCAATAGTTCAAAGCAACCACGTTTTAACGTGTCTATCAGCAAATCATTGGATCCTCATTTAATTTCTGGAGATTACTCTCAATTTAATCATAACTCCATCATTGCTAATATGATAAAAGATCGAAATAAATGGAAAATCAATTACACTGATATGCAAGGTCCTTCAATTAATAACCGAGAAAAACGAGTTCGATGTCATAATTGTCATCAGACTGGTCATGTCAAGCTAAGTTGTCCTGATCCTATAAAAGGTGAAATATGTTACATGTGTGGCTTACAAGGACATTTGGAGCCTAGATGCCCTAAGAGAATGTGTTTAGCATGTGGAGTTCCTTCATTTGCATTCGTCATTGGATGCCACAAATGCCGTGATAGACATAGATTAGTATGTTCAATGTGCAACATGGCTGGCCATAATGAAAATACATGTCCTGATCTGTGGAGAAGATATCATAGAAGCATTGATCCAACGAAGTCACCCATAGTCCAGCATTCAGGTTTAAAGGATACACGAAATTTGTTCTGCAGCAATTGCTCAGCTCGTGGGCATATTTATGACAATTGCAGTAAATTAAGAATAAATGAGCATAGTTTAAGTCTACCAAATATTGTTAAATATGATGCAGTTCTGCCCATTCAATCTGTGAACCTTAACAATAATTCCAAGAGCAGTCTTAATAATGGCAATTTTAATACGGCTGATGTAAATAGAATTAATGGACATGTATATTTAAATAAGTCAAATAATATGGATGTTAGAACTTCTAATGAATGTTTGGATGCAGCAAACCAAGTTTCTTCATCTAATGTGAATAATATGAATGGAGGTGTTAGTCCTGATATCAAAGATTCATTACAAAAAGAGCATCAAAGTTTAAATGCAGATAATACAGATACTGATAATAACTCTTTGGTTGACTCCGAGCCACAAATTTTTGACTTTATGAGGCCAGCGAATATAAATATACCAGGTAGTGGTGCTGTTTGTATTGTTATTGATAAGTATACTGTACAAGTGCTAATGAAACCTGAAGGTGCAAAATTTTTACATAACGTTTCGAAAAGCCTCAGTACCAAGGTAGAGATTCAATTGTCAAGATATGGAGGTTTACTTTATGTAAATGACCATACAAAGGAACAGCCTTTCAGAAAGCATTTGAAAGACTGGATTAAAGCTGTTAACACCAAATTACTGTCTACACATACTTATGTTAAGCTTCCAAATAGAACTAAATCTTTAATAAATTTTATTCAATCATTAAAGGCTACTCCGTGTAGACAAATTTCAAATCCATCTTCAAAATATAGAACTCTATTAAATATAACAAATAATGATTATAGTGTTATTAGCAACAAGCAAGTAAAACTCTACCACAAAACTATCAGACAATTAAATTTGTTTTTCTTTGAAGAAAATGGGCTCAAAGAAGGTGAATTCCATGCAAATAAATTAAACGAGTTAGTGAAACAATTAGATACAATTTCTGAAACTGTTATTCCGAAAGAGTTATATGAAGAAATTAAAAGCCATTATGACTATATATTTACAACTGACCATGGAAATTATAAAGAATTGATAGAATTATATAGAAAGAAGAAAAATAGAAACATTTCATCGGATCACTTCTGATAAATAATAAAATCCGTGATAAATTTTTATGTTACATATTTACTTATGCAGTGTATTCAGAATTGAAAACTGTTTTTTCTTAAATAAAATAATATATTTATATGTACAATTTTATAAAAATAATTGCAATGTTTGTGAATCATTGAGACGTTATGTGTTTGTTTATTATTGCTATGTGATTATATTTTCCTCTATTATAAATTGTTTAGAAAGATGATTATATGATATATTTCCCTATATATCTATGTACAAAAGAATCAGTGGACAAAATCGTTATATAAAAAAATATAATACAAATGATTATTAATCACATTGAAATTTATTTTTATTAGTGTTTATTGTAATTCATATATATATATATAAATTATGAATGATTGTACTACTATGAATTTGAATTAAACTACATATATTTTTATGTTTTTATTTGTAAATATCTGGCTTCATTTCTGAAAACATCAGAACTATAATATATATAATTACAGATATTATAAGTATGTTCGAAAAATATCAATTGGTTTATCCCATTGATTAATTTTTAGTAAAAGTGATTTTTTTTTCTTTCTATTTAACAAAAATCACTGATTTTGAGATGTCTTATTTATTTCATGTTAACTATTATATAAAAATAAAGAATTTTATATGATAATGTATAAATACAATAAGATGTAATTTTATTAAATATAAATTGCATATAACTCTTGTATATAAAAATTAATGCTCAAGTCTGTTTTGAAAAAATATATAAATATGTCAAAGGACTTTCCTTTTTTTAATATTTTGAAAAATGTAGTCAAATACAAATATTGTGCAAAGTTCTTATTGATATATGCAATGTAAATAATTTTTTTATATAAAATATTATATTATTTAAAAGTTTTTTTTGCTAAGTGTTTAGTGAAAGAATTATCAAGAACATTGGAAAGTTATTTTTATGCTGTCAAAATCCTGTATTAAATTGAGTGTGGACATAAATCTAAATACTGGTGTATTAATATTAACACAATATTAATTGTATTCATATTAAATTAGTGGACTTATATAAAATGTTCGTTGGCGCGCAAAACAAAACTTTTTCATCCTGAATCACAGGAGTGAACAACGTAAGTAATACAAGCACAAAACATAAATATTTATACTAAACTCAAAAGCGACATTTTTTACAAATTTTTAACAAATTTAATGTTATAATTGAAACTAGTATTTATAATTATTAATTATTAATGTGTAAATAAAATGACAATCCTTCGACAAAGAAAAAACTTCTCAGTTTTTTCCCTCGCGTTGCACAACATGCTTTTCTGGCGCATTTGCTAAACTGCTGTCGTTCGTCGTTGTAGCGATTCTGATATTTGATTCACTCAGTTCCATTCCGTACAAAGCAAAGTTTCTATTCTATTATTCTTTCTTTATTATTCTTTATAAGGTGTGTAGATAATATTTAAAAATGGAAAAAATATATTGTGATTGTTATGTAGAATATTTGATAATTAAATGTGTGGTTTTAGGAAAAAATGGAATATAATAATGAAAAAGGAAAATGGCCTCTTGCGGAACATTTTATAGCGCCTAGTGTAGTAGGTGAGATTTTTTTATTCGAGTTATTTTTTCATATGGAATAGTTTATTATAGTTTTGTTTTGTATGAGAAGTGTAAATTGCGTTTTATATATATATATATATATATATATATATATATATATTTATATTTATTTATTTATTTTAGAGCTTCAAACAAAGAATTCAAATAGTAATAAAAAACAAAAAACTTAAAAAAAACATTTTTTTATTTATTTACTGTCGACGTTTCGGTACTAGATATGTTCCATCTTCAGAACATCTGTCAAGAAACATGATCTTGATAAGATTTGAACAAACAATATATTTAAGAAAAGTAGAAAATGGTGGATTTTTCATATAAATTTATTTAAATGATATAAATGATTTAAATTTATTTATTTAAATGAATAAAATTGTGGAAGAGATAATGTTTTAAAAAATATGACAATGTAATAAATATAAAAATAATATACATATATGTATATTTATATATATTATATATAAAGTGATTTTAATTTTTTCAACTAATAGCCTTCATTTTTCTCCAAAAATATTTAATTTTTAACTTCCCGTAGGGTAAGTTATAGTAATCGCAAAAAATCGAAAATGATTTGTTTATATCTTTATGCTTCAAATGTTTCTGAATATTTTGGCATACCTTAGAAAAATTGAATGTATGTATATGTGTGTGTGCGTGTGTGTATGTATGTATGTGCGGATACAATTTTTCGTCGACGATTTCGAGAACACGGATCAACCAATTTCAATGATTCAAAAAACATTCGATTTGTATTGATAAGGAGACGTGCTGATTAGTTTTTGGCAAAGGCAGGTATAGCCGTTCCAAAGATACGAGGCAAAAAGTGTCAAGCATCGATTGGAATGATTCAAAAAACATTTTATTTGTATTGACGAAATGAAGAACTGATTGAATTTTTGGAAATGCAGGTCCAGCGGTTATGGACTCTCAATAAAAATAAGTTAAAAAAATGTCATTTCAAACATGTTTATTGGCCATATGTACATCAAATTATCAGATATTTTCTAGAGATTTTAATAATGTGTACACATTTTGCGTACATATTTTTGGGTTCCGTACCAAGATTTTTAATTACGGTGCGGGAAGTTCCAGCAATTTGCCTTAAGGCACGATGCCGTGCACCCCACTAGTTATATTCTTATGTTCATTTGAGGAAGAGTTGGTTCATAAATTTATTAGTGTTTTTTTTTAACTTCATTTGCATTATAAATATTTAGCAAATTACATGTTTGAATATTAGTCGAATTTTTTTTTAATAAATGTACTTTAATTTTAGATTTATTTAAAAGCAAGAGGAGCTCTGGTGAAAATTTTCATGAGCAAAATTCCAAAAGCACTACTGAAACTAAAGACACAAAAAGTATTGTACCTCAGGAAAACATCGTAAATCTAGATGATAATGTCAAAACTGTTTGCTTCATTTGTGATAGTGAATTTTCGACAGCAGAAGAATTATTACAGCATCTCAAATTAAACGCAACTAAGCAAATTGCCTGTTGTATTTGCTCTCAAAAAGTCACATGTGTTGATGATCTGGAAATACATAAAATAGCGCACATTCTCAGTCCGGATTTGGTTTCAGAAAATGATAATTTTGAATCACTTTTGCAATATTTTGCACAACTCGATGAATCGGAAAATGAAACGAGCGATGATTCAAAAAGCTCTTTGGAATTTGAAAAACTTGAAGACGAAAAAGAAATGTCTAGTAATAAAAGTACACCAGATAATGATAAAAACAACAATATCATTTCTGAGGTTAAGTGTGAAATAATTGAACTTGAAAATGATCATAGTCAAGGTATTATTAAAAATGTTGACTCTGAATGTAAAATACAGTCACAACCGGCTGAAGAACAAAAGGCAGAATATCAGCTAAGAAAATTAAGGTCTGATACACATAAATTGCAAAACAACTTACAAAAGGATACAAAACAAGAACTGGATGAACCAAATGATGTCGAAGACAAAGAGGTATCTAATGAAAGAGATTCTTCCGAGGGAAAAAAATCTGTTAAAAAGACCAGACAAGCCCGCTTCAAACAGTTTCTTTGCAAGTACTGTGCTAAGCAATATTCATCATACAAGAGTTTTTTGAAACACGAAAAATTGCACGAGGATTTATTCAAATGCGACTTATGCGAGAAAAATTTGGGTGCAAGCATAGAATTGCATAACGCTTCGCATAAGGTTAAGAAAAACCTTCAATGCGATATCTGCTCAAAAACATTTAAATACCATGGAAACTTATCAGTACACATGAGAATACACCTAAATATCAAACCTTATCAATGTGAAACATGTCCTAGTAGTTTTAGACAGGCTGCCGATTTAAAACGCCACGCGAGGATTCACACTGGCGAGAGGCCCTACCAGTGCAAAATTTGCCTGAAGAAATTCGTAACATCTGCATACTTAAAAGTCCATTTAAAATATCATCTCGAAGAAAAAAAATACTCGTGTACAGTTTGTTCAAAGAGCTTTGTAACAAACACGCAGCTAAAACTGCACTCAAGAGTACACACCAAAGAGACTCCATATGAATGTGATGTTTGCAAAAGGAAATTCACATCGTTCAGTAGTTTGAATAATCATAAAAGGATACATACCGGAGAGAAGCCATACAAATGTAAGCTTTGCAATGATAAATTTAGTAGATGGAACTATTTGGCAAGCCATATGAGAGTTCATACAGGTGAAAGGCCGTATGCATGTGATGAATGTAATTTTAAATTCACTACACGCAGTAATTTAGTTAGGCACATCAGAAAGCGTCATCCTTCATGAAGTCACAATTTTTAATTTATATGAAAAGATTTAGAAAAACTGTGCTGGTCACTTAAGAGAACTTTTTTAAATAGTCTATAGTAATATATTAATATTTATTTTATGGAAAATGAAGTCTTATCAATTTTATATTTTTGTACTTATATTGTAAATTTTTTATAAGCATGTGCAATAATATATATATTAGGGTGGTCCTTAATATGGACATTTTCGAATTTGCTTGCTCCCAAATTGCTTACAAATTGATAAAAGAAAATCCTCTATAAGTTTTCCTCTTAATATTGTCTTATAGATAGTGCGCAATTCAATCAAAGTTTTATATGAAAATAGCATGGGAAAATTTTCAAATAAATTAAAAATGTTTTTTAGATATAACTTAACGAACAAATAAATGAGTTCTAGATGTCCTACGAAACAAATTATAAGAAACCTGCTTTGCAGAGCGTCGAATTTTCAATAAAAGATGACAGGAATTGTCACTTTTATTTAATTATTTGTCGCTAAGTTATACCTCAAAAACATTTTAAAATTTTCGAAATTTTGTCCATGCTATTTCCATACGAAGCTTTGATTGAATTGCGCACTATCTAAAAGTTAATATTAAGAGCTAAAACTTTTAAAGAATTTTTTTATCAATTTCGAAGCCCCTGGGAGCAATAAAATTCGAAAATGTCCATATTAAGGACAACCCTAATATATATATATATATATATATATATATATATATATAGTTTTAAAGCTTTTAAAATATATATACATAGTATCTCAGAACTCAACGTCAAGCTGTGAAATTTTTATTGATTTTGTTCATTTAAGCATTGGGTCCATGATTGTATAAAACACTTACCGGATTACAATAAAAAATTATGAGATAATTGACCCAACTTTGAAAAAATAATACTTTTTTTTTAAATTTTGAATTTAATAGTTTAATTTTAACTTTGAAAATTTTAAATTTATAGTTCAAGAGAAAGGATTAATTCTAGAAAACTTTGGTCAATTGTGTCATTATTTTTGCCTGGGGTTTTGGAAATATTTTTTGTTGATTACGGATCCAAAGTTTAAATAAGCAAAATTATTAAAAATTAATAACAGTAACCAAAATCAGTCACATTTTTACCAAAGCCTCAAGTTGCACTTGCAAGGTCATCATTTTAAAACATAGATAATTGTTTTACAACTATAGACATTGAATTCTGGGACACCCTATATATATTTTATTTCATAATTTTAAAAAATAGATAATTATTTTATATTTATAGACGTTGAATTCTGGAACACCCTATATATATTTTATTTAATTTAATTTATTTATTTACTCGTACTTATTGTGATATTATTTATATAATGGTGCAATTGAATTACATATGCATGCTTTTAAAATATTTTTTATTTATTTCTAGAGACCGAATCTGCCGCATAACAGACAAATGTTATGGCAAGGCCATGTTACGGTCCAAGTTCCATACATTACTGAATCATATTGAATACTGTCAAAATGTGGTGTATTTGCTGTGCATTCAGGTGTTTTACACATAAACTGCAACGTCACTCGTATGTTATGAAGGTGGGTCAGAAAGACCTTGTTATGTAAGGTAGTTTTTGTGATATTTATGCGGTTTCTACGTTAGGTTTGCCTGACTGCACAGCAACCACATGACTTTTGACAATTTTTGTATGGAAAGTTCTTCATAACATAGCCTCGCCATAACATTTGTCTGTTATGCGGCAGATTCGGTCTCCTAGTATTTTTAATTTAGTTCGACTTTAGCTATTAAATAGCTTAAAAGGTTTTGGAGTGAAATGAAATTTTATCTATTTATTTATTTATATATTTTTTGCATTGTAATATTATTGGACATTAAACACATTTTAATTTTTTTTATTCGGCGTTAGTCAGCCAAAGAGTCGAAATAAAAAACATTAAATAATTACATAACTTGTACGTTTCGACGCTGTTTGTGTGCCATCATTCAGCACGTTAAACAAATTCTAAAAAAAAATTATCAAGATTAAATAAAAAATTATAAATATACTACCAAAAAATATTTTTCAAAGTTTATAGAAAGAACAAGATTACTAGTAAATGTAACAAATAATACCAGATCAGGACAAAAACGCAACACACCCATTTACAATGTATCAATCACACTGTGAATATATGTTAAAAATTAATTACAAATTTTGATATATTTAATTCATTTATTTCCAGTGGAAAATCCATCAAGTGATATTTCTTATCCAAGCTTAAATCAGCAAGAATCGAAATGGAATTTTCAAAATGATTTTTGTGAACAAAGTTTTTCTTCGAATTTGGACCGAAGTAAAACAAGATATAATATTGATGTTCCAGATATCGATTACAAATCGGAAGAAATTGATGTGTTTTCTTTTAATTTTGTTTTCGAATGTGCATTTTGTGGAGAAAATTTCTCATCATCAAAAGCATCATCTTTTTTATCACATATTTGCGGTGAAAACAATTTATTCGAAGAACAAATCAAAGAGAGTTCCTTGGATGATAAATGCTCCCAGGACCCTTTGCCTTCGTTTGCACTCACTTTCAAAAATTTATATTCATATCAAAGTGAATTTAATTATTTGAATCAAGAAATTTGTGAGGATAAGCAATTAACAAAGGATATTAAATTAGAGTTGAATTCAGACAATGCCAATAACAATTCAAACGAACTGCAAGAAATAGAATGTTCTTCACCAAATAACAATATTTGTAACGACCAAGAAGAAATAAAAATATTTTCAGAAAATGTTCGTCCAAATTCAGTCAATGAAGAAAAAAATCGTAAACAAATATACGAATGCAAAGTTTGCTTTAAACAATACCATTGGAAGATGCATTTAGCCAGGCATAAAAAAACGCACGCAGAAGATAAACCTTTGAAATGTGAAATTTGCTTCAAAAAATTTAAGAGTCCTCTTTTTTTTAAAAGGCATATTGATACGCATCTGGGATAAGCCATATTTGTGTGAATTTTGTTAAAAGTAAAAATAATATTTATGCGAGGTGTGTTTTTAACCAATTTTTCCTATTGTATGAATGAGAGATTATTTATTGAGTGAGTTTTGATAATATGTTTATTTATACCAATAAGTATTTTAGCCTACTATCACATAATACATATCTTATAATATGAATTTTTTAGATTTTTTTGTTTGATGCTGAAACATATTCTTGAAATCTTTATTTGCAGCCAAATAGTCGAATTGAAAAGCAATAAATAGTTATAGTCCAGTTATTATTGTAAGTTTATCTCGGAATTCGGTTTTGAACAACTTTTAGGGTGCAAAATACAAGTATTCATAGACTTACATCTAGGTATATCGAATTCTGAGATTCTTACCTAATTTAAGCTTAAATGACTGGACTATTAACTATTTATTTATTAAGTACGTTTCGACACTGTATGTGTGTCGCGAATGCAAAGCAAAATGCAATATCACGCCATATAGAGACGACAGGGTTCACAAATGCTGATCCAGGATCGAGAAAAGGGGGATTATAGATCATACACTAAAGCGATTGCGTTAAAAAATGTTCAAAATTTAAAAAAAAATATCAAGATATTAAGATATGTTTCGAATTTTTATAAAAAGTCGAATTGTTTCAAAAATTTCAAAATTCTCAAATATCTAATTTTTTCAGCTGGTGTGAATGCAACCTAATGTGTTTTTCCATAACAGCGTCATGTGTGCCAGCGGCCTTAACCTTGAACCATAACCTCAAATTCATTTTAACTTTGACGTACACGAGGGTGTAGTTTTAATATAATAATGGAAGAATATAATCGTGAACCGTGCCCATGGAGAATCGTAGACGATTGCGGAGGGGCCTTCGCAATGGGCTGCATAGGCGGCGGAGTCTTTCAGTTCATAAAAGGTTTCCGAAATGCACCGTCAGGTATCAACAGAAGACTCCTGGGAAGTTTATCTGCCATCAAGACTAGGTCTCCAATTATAGCTGGTAACTTCGCCGTTTGGGGCGGTATGTTTAGTACGATAGACTGCACATTAGTGAAAATACGTCAAAAAGAAGACCCGTGGAATTCTATTATCAGTGGTGCTGCTACTGGGGGCATCCTGGCCGCTAGAAATGGTGTCGCAGCCATGGCAGGCAGTGCAGTTATTGGTGGCGTTTTGCTTGCTCTGATCGAAGGAGTTGGTATATTGTTGACAAGATTCTCGGCAGAACAGTTTAAACAGTCAAATCCTATAATGGAAGATCCTTCAGTTTTAAACCAAAATAATAATGTACAGTATCAGTAGGAGTGTTATGTGCAAATAAGTAAATTTGTGTATATAAAATATATATAGTATAGATTAAATGCTAATGAATCAGAACAATCGCAAGAGTCACAAGGTGTATGGCATCTAGAGGATACGAAAGGATACTAAAACGAAATGATAGATTTAAAAAGTGTTTCCACTTGTATGTCTTCGAAATATGTAAATAAAAACATCTTGAATAAATAATTTCTCAATGTTTGTCTGAAATTGAAAGTTGTGATTAAAGTTATAGTTACTAGATGAAAAATGAGATTTTTTATTACACATTCAGCTGTTATCTTTCACAACAATTCAAATTGTAATATAAATCAACAGTGTTCTGCTCATAATCATATTGTTTTTTGCGGCTCATATCTTTTCATGTAAGATTTGCCTTAGTTTTCGTTGTATTAAACCTGTTACTGCTATCAGTTATTGATACAACTAAATCTTCACGTTTCATATAGGTCTTTGCATATTTTTCAAGTTTTGATACCATTTCTTTGCTAATAAGTTTTATTAGAATAATATAATGTAAATCTCAGAACTTTTTTCCTTATTTTTAACCATTTTGGACCTGTTGCCATTGAATATACTAATACATCCTCCTTGAGAAATTGATTTTGTATAATAATGTATCATGTAATTAAACTACCTCAACGTTATCTAGATATCTTAAAGTAAAAAATACACTTGTAATTTTTTAAATTTCTAAT